GGTCGAGCTCCCCGCCGCCTCCGCCGCCTCGGCGGCGAGCCTGCACAGCTGCGCCCTCCTCCGCCATGTCGCCCTCGGCGCAGCTGCCGCCTCCGCTGCCGCCTCGGCCTTCCCCTCCCCCGGCTCGCACACGGCGGCCGCCGCCTCGCCTCGCTCGGCGCCGGCACGGCACGCTGGCTCGGGCTCATGGCGAGCACTTGCTGCTGCCTCGGCGGTGCTGGCGGAGCAGATTTGGGGCTCGTGCGCCACGCCCTCCTCCTCCTCCTCCTCCGCCGCCGCCGCGCCGCCGGTGGCGACGGACGAGCTTCTGCTCAACGGCCTCGTCGACTGGTGCCTCTTCTTCCTCCGCGGCCAGGCGGCGGCGCTCGCCGTCTTGATGGCGCAGCAGTCGACTGCCCCAAGCAGGAGCTCGACTCGCCGCTATGAGCCCGGCCCCTCACCTCAGCAGAGCAGGCGTGAAACCGTGCCGGATTTCACGCAACACACCTTCCGCATCAATAGCGGTCCATCTCTCTCTCCACCTCTGGTCGGTGTGCCCTGTGTGTACTGCCATCGTGCTGAAGTGCTATGACTGGACTACAGCTTGCTCAGCTCCTTTGATATTATCGTTGTTGTAACACAGCAAAATGCGTGCTCAAAGGGTGTCTTCGGAGAGAGAGAGATTTTTAGCAATACCAAACAACTCTAACACTCACACGTCATTTGGGGCCTGGAGCCCTGTTCACGCGCGCGCGAGACGTGCAGACAGGGTTGCCAGGTGAGAGCGAATGGCGCGGTTCACGCCTCGCACAACAGAGAGAGAGATGCGCTCTGCATGGTGGGACATAAAAGAAAGCGAGTAATTGGGCGAGTAGGCCGTGCGGTCGACGCTGCCGCGCGCGACTTTGCGCGCGAGGCGGCGCAGCTTGAGAACGGCGGTGGGCGAGAAGCCGCCGCCGAACGTCTCGTGGAGCAGCAGGTTGAAGTTGTTGCGCTTGACAAAGATCGCGTCGTGGTAGAAACCGCGATGCGCCTTGACGTAGCCGTGGCCGGTCTTGTGGTCGAAGGGTTGGCCGGGCTGCCCGCGCGCCTTGCAGCCCATGTTTAGGCGGCGGGCCTTCTCTTCGGTGTTGCCGAAGGCGTAGGAGTGGCCAACGGAGGCGGGCGTGCCGCCGCTCGAGGCGTTGCCAACGCCCGCCGAGGAGGTCTTGAGGAGGGGCGTCCAGAGCTTGACTTCATTCACCTCATCGCATCCTCCCGGGCCAGCGTGGGGTTCCGCGAGGTCGACCTTGTACCCCTCGTTGTACTGCCGGGTGAGCTCTGGTTTCTCCTTGTCACCGTGCACGACCGGCGCGTTGGCCGGGGCGCGCATCGCGTCCGAAGCTTTGCCAGCACCAGTCCCAGTGCGTCAGAGAGGTCCCAGAGGCCGCCCGCCGACGAGGCGTCGCGGGAGAAGAGGCTGGCGATGGTCTCGTTTGCGGGCGTGCCGCCAACGAAGATGTCGATGTCGGAGTTGTTGGGAACGGGCGACGCCAGAACGGCGCCTCCTCGTCCTGGTGCTCGACCGCCTTCGGTACCTGTCGACCAGGGTCCCGGCAGGAGCGAGTCGTCGGACGGGTAGAAGATGCGCTCGGAGTCAATGGACTTGTACGATTCGTGGCTCCGAGAGGGCCGCACCTCGCACAACCCAACCAGGCCCCCGCCCAGCGGGGTAGTTTCCTGGCTGCTGGTCGGGCTGTGGTCGGTGCGGTTGGCTCCGGCTCTGCCAGTCGTCGAGGGCAATGGGCAAGACGGTTGTGCCGCCCCCGCCCCCTCATCCGAGGGGACCCCACCGGCGTTGTGGACACTGTGAAGGACAGGCTGCCTTGTGGCTGCCTTTGGTCCAACCCAGAGCCATTCTGCACGGTGCACGGTGGGTGGGACGGTCGAGGTAGTCGGCGCCGGACCTGTGCAGCGGGTAGAAAACACGCTAGACACGCTAGGCACACCAGACTCGTCACGCGACATGGACACGAAAAACACACGAGACGAGGTAGCCTCGGCGACAGCCGTGGCGACAGCCGTGGCGACAGCCGTGGCGACAGCCGTGGCGACAGCCGTGGCGACAGCCGTGGCGACAGCCGTGGCGACAGCCGTGGCGACAGCCGTGGCGACAGCCGTGGCGGCAGCCGAGGCTGGCTCGGGAGCCGCGTCGGCAGCCGTTGGGTGCTCGACGATAGCCTGGACCGGCTTGACCGCGCTGCAGATGTTTGAGGCGGGTCGAGCTGGCAGCTCTTGGAACGTCGAGCCGAGGAGTGGGTGTCGGACAGCGCCGACGTGGGACACCGCTGCTGCGGCGTCCACGGGGCGCAGAGCACGCGTGCTCTGCGCGAGTGCGAGCGCAGGATCGCTCAGGACCAGCAGCACGGCGGCCGCGAGCCGAAGAGGCCCGACAGCCGACATGCCAGCTGAAGTAAGGAGTTTTGTCTTCGGTCGGGGTGGCGGGGCGCACGCCGAGGAGCGAAACGATGCACGCCGAGCAGCGAATCAGATCTCCTCGAATGTCTTCCCTTCTCCTCTCCCTCCTCCTCCTCCTCGACCCGGCCGCGCCGGTGCGGGGCGAGCCGGGGCTCCTCGCGAAGCACGCCCCCGCCTTGGTCGTGGCCGCCCCCGGCCTGAGCGGCAGCGGCGTCGGCGTCGGCGGCGGCGGCGAGCAGAAGGCCGCGGGGGCGCTCTTGGCCACGCCCCGCGCCCGGCGATCGCTCGCGAGCACCGGAACGTACGGCACGATCTTTGGGCGCAAGGTCGGGCAGACGATGCAGATCTTTGCGTACTCGAGCGACACGGCAACGAACGGTGCGTACGGCACGCTCATCGACGCGGACACCGCCCTCTCCTGGCAAACCGTCGAGCTCGAGTTTGCCAACGGCGTGATCGAGAGTGTCGCCCCCGAGAACGGCATCGCTGCGATTGTCAACGCGAACAACAAGGAAGTCGGCGTCGGCGACATGGGTGGCTCGGGCGACACCTACCCCGCCGGCCTCGTCATGACTGTCACCTTCACCCCCGGCACGGACATGGACAGCGTGTACATCGACTTCTCGTCGAGCAAAACCGCGATCGGCATCTCCGCGCAGACCACCGTCTCGTTTACCTCGACGCCCCGTGTGGCGACCGTCGTGCAGGACAAGAGCAACAACCTCTACCTGTTTGCCTCGCCCAACACGCCCACCGACGGCAAGGCTTCGACCATCGAGATTGCGGTCACGGGCGCCTTTGCCGAGAGCGACATCACCGCCCTTCTCACTGGCCTGACGCCGCAGGTTGGCAGCGGCTTCTTCGGGCTGGGCTTCCTGGACGGCTCGTCGCATCTTCCCGACGGCGAGGCGATCGCCGTCGCGTCTCGGCCCCTCCTGGACATCGACGTGGACTCTGTGAAGACCGCGGTCGTCGCCTCTCCCGCCGCCCCGGGATTCGACGCGCTCATCTTTGTCATCGGGGCGGCCTTCGACCCGTGCGTCTCGTGCAACGCAATCGTGAGAAAGACTGGCAACACGCCCCGTTCGTACGGAAACCCGTGCCTGCCTGGCGACCCGACGAAAACCTACAAGGACGGCCCCAAATCCACACCCGACCTCGCCCAGGAGACTACCGAGTGCTACACGAACATCGCGGACGACCCCACGAATCCCGTGCGCCGCTGCGTCTATGACTACAATGAGGGGTCAGGATACGATTACGAAGGGAAAATGAATAACGAGAAGGAAGCGCGAAGTGAGAGGTGCATGATGCTCCCGTCGCCGTCCCCGCCTGCGCTTCCGCCGGCCTCGTACCCGCCGCCGCCTCCCTCCGCCTTGCCTGCGCCGCCGCCCTCCGGCTCGCCGTCGCCGCCGCCGCCTCTGCCGCCGCCTCCCTCCGCCTTGCCTGCGCCGCCGCCCTCCGGCTCGCCGTCGCCGCCTCCCTCCGGCTCGCCGTCGCCGCCGCCGCCTCTGCCGCCGCCTCCCTCCGCCTTGCCTGCGCCGCCGCCGTCCGTGTCGCCGTCGCCGCCTCCCTCCGGCTCGCCGTCGCCGCCGCCGCCCACGCCGCCGCCTCCCTCCGCCTTGCCTGCGCCGCCGCCCTCCGGCTCGCCGTCGCCGCCGCCGTCCGGCTCGCCGTCGCCGCCGCCGCCTCTGCCGCCGCCTCCCTCCGCCTTGCCTGCGCCGCCGCCCTCCGGCTCGCCGTCGCCGCCTCCCTCCGGCTCGCCGTCGCCGCCGCCGCCCACGCCGCCGCCTCCCTCCGCCTTGCCTGCGCCGCCGCCGCCCACGCCGCCGCCTCCCTCCGCCTTGCCTGCGCCGCCGCCGTCCGTGTCGCCGTCGCCGCCTCCCTCCGGCTCGCCGTCGCCGCCGCCGCCCACGCCGCCGCCTCCCTCCGCCTTGCCTGCGCCGCCGCCGTCCGTGTCGCCGTCGCCGCCTCCCTCCAGCTCGCCGTCGCCGCCGCCGCCCACGCCGCCGCCTCCCTCCGCCTTGCCTGCGCCGCCGCCGTCCGTGTCGCCGTCGCCGCCTCCCTCCGGCTCGCCGTCGCCGCCGCCGCCCACGCCGCCGCCTCCCTCCGCTTTGCCTGCGCCGCCGCCCTCCGGCTCGCCGTCGCCGCCGCCGCCTCTGCCGCCGCCTCCCTCCGCCTTGCCGTCGCCGCCTCCCTCCGGCTCGCCGTCGCCGCCGCCTCCGTCCGCCTCGCCCTCGCCGCCGCCACCCTCCGCCTCTCCCTCCCCGCCACCTCCCTCCGCGTCGCCGTCGCCACCACCTCCCTCCGCGTCGCCGTCCCCGCCGCCTCCGTCGGCCTCGCCGTCACCGCCGCCGCCTCTGCCGCCGCCTCCCTCCGCCTTGCCTGCGCCGCCGCCGTCCGGCTCGCCGTCGCCGCCGCCGCCTCTGCCGCCGCCTCCCTCCGCCTTGCCTGCGCCGCCTCCATCCGTGTCGCCGTCGCCGCCGCCGCCTC